ACGTGCTACTGTTCTAGGTATTTCCTCTTCGATACCTATTTCCCTGGCTAATGTGACTGCATCGTCATATATGCGCTTGTGATATGCTTCGATTTCGTGTCGGTTCAGCTCCACTTGCTGTTTGACAAGTTCAACTTCCCTGTGAGCACGTGCTATGTCTACATAGGAACCTTGGAGTTTGATGCTCAAAACTTTGGTCATGAGAAAGACCTCTCGTGTAAGCATCAAAGCAACAATCAGTGGGAATCTTAGTAGAGCATTGTATAGTACGTTCTCTTCTTGGCGTGTTTCTCTGTTCCACTCACTAGCTGATGCCTCTGACACTCAGTGCTTCTAAACAGGTAATCAGAGGCTTGTAGAGATGGATAAACACSTCAAATGCATCATGCCGTTCAACCCAACGGGTACGACGCAGTTCTTTCAGCTTCTTTTTACGTTCGTCTTCTAAAAAGCTTTCGAAAAAAAGTTGACGTTTTGGGGAGTTGTTGAAGAATCGCGAGATTTTATCTGCAATTTCCATCGAGTTCCTAACCTCTCTTATGTTGCAGCACTTTGCAATACACAGATTCAAGCGTTGAGATGCACAGTGTGTATATAAGGCTTTCGGATATATTTCATTAGTCGTGCCGCAGCTCCTTTGTTTCTGCCAGTCATTGCTCCAGCACCATCGTAAGCTTGACCACGTAAATTATGAAGTTCAAAGTTCCATAATTGTAGGTTGGAAATAATTGAGTCAGCAAGTGCCTTCCCAGTAACTCCAAGAAGGCATTCGCTAAATCCTAGAAAACACTCCAGAGAAGTGCAGTTCTTGTCGACGTATCGAATGCTGATAGCTAACTGTTCAGAGTTTGATGAATCAGTTGCTTCATCAGCGATTACTGAAAAGAACACTGCATCCTTGACATCACTTAGAATTGAATTTCGCACAGCATTTCCACAGATATTCATCAACTCATTCTGAATAGATTTACTGGTATATCGATAGGATAGTATCCTATCCATGTCATTGATCAAGCTCTGCGTAAAGTCTCTCGCATTGATCGTAACACTGCTCTCACACCTAAGTTTCGTGCTCCTAATGACCGTATTCCTTTCACTCTTTTACGTATCATCCTATTAACAGTTCTATTAAGCCCATTATTAATCTTAATTACTCACTTCTGAAACTAACACTTCTCACATCTTTAACGACCGACCCCTTTATTCTAAAACGTGATCGTAACCTTCGTTCTTTCCTAGTCAAAGGTGTTCTTCATTCTAATATTATGTACTTATTGACTGAGTGGGAGGGCCGTACGGGAAAATATTTGGCTCGAGGTTATGCCGTACAAATGACCGAGAGCCAAATATTTTCCCGTACGGCTCGACCTAACTCAGTCAATAAGCATTTTATCATATGACAGCGTTTTTTAATGTAAAAAAAAAATGAATAAAAGCGCGAGGAACTTCAAGCCGGGAAAATACGGGTTTGTACGGACCAGTCGCGAAAAGGCGTACGGACCACATCGCGTGAGCATTTTACAAAGGTTTCAGTGAGAGCGCGCGTAGGGTCGAAATACGGGTCATATGATAAGTTATCAAACTCATTAATAATTCATAGGATTGTAAGCCAATGATATGCTATTATACGACCACGTGACGACATTTTTAGTAGTAGAGAAAAGCGCAACATTCTAAAAGTCGGGGGCGGCATTGAATATTTTCAGGGGAGTGCGGGGCTGATAAAGCATTAATGAATAAAACATTAGTCCTTTATCAATTTACGATAAAGGACTAATATTTTATTCATTAATGCTTTATCAAGATCAAATGCAAGACGCCAAAGCAACATATAGTCTTTAATTTTCAAGTTTTACCTTTAAGCTAGATAAATACATCTGTGTTATTACTTAACTGTTCAATCATTTTGAATTAGTAAACGTTACATTGGTGAAAGTGCAGTTACTAAACACTAATTTAGGTGGACTAGCTGTACAAGCTTCACTAACTTTTGGTGTAGGCCGAGTTACACTGGTAGTGGCACTCTCGTAATCTATGCCTGCTAATATTTCATCTGCCACATCTTCATTAAACATCAAATCATCATCAGATAAATTAATGCTGCATAATGTTTCATCAGAAATTACATTATCAAAAACATTATCCCCTAAGGTATCAAACAGATTGAACTCAAATGAAGGGTAATTTGTACTATCGTTAGCCTCGGAATTACAAGGACCTAAAATTGAACTCGCTTGCTTTAACTGTTGATTTGAGACTCTTTCATATTTGAAAAGTGAATCTGATTTGTGACCCGTTCGATCTCTAATAAGCTTCTCTTCAATACCACTTTGAAAAAGCCTAGTTGCAGTGGTTATCCTTAATGAATGTGCTGTCTTCCTTGGCAGGCCGGCCTTAGCACAAAGCTCATCTGGTAGAATACCATTTAACTTATTTTCACCTAGAGGTCTTTGCTCAAATTCAAACTTACTGAAATCGCGATTTGGATAGAAATAGAAAGCCTTATCCTGTACTACTGAATCAAAAATTTTGATTTTTTCAAGATACAACTTATACAATTGTACTAAGCACCTGGGATGCTCTTTACCTGAATCGTGGCAAAAATGAGTGGATACTCTTGGTGTATTTTTTAGATCTTTGAGGCCACCGTGAAACGTTTTGCTAAAACTTTCGTCAAAAGTGATTATGTTATCAGTAATCCTGAAATTAGCTATTCGCAAATTGCGATGGTCTTTCGCCCTTAGACCAAATAATTTTCCATTATAGAAATAAATAGTGTGCAATAAACTAGTAGCACAATTACCCCCTAACAGTCCTTTAGACCAAAGTATCTCCTCTTCTTCTGCTGTAACTGGTTCTCGTTGTGGTTTTGTGTTCTTAAGGCCAAATCCTTTTTTTGTGGACTCTTTCATTTCGGCGTCCATGACTTTTCTTAGCAAGGAAAATCTAGAATAAGAAGGTAAAGTCTTTATATAAAGCTTACGGTATGATTTACTCATATTGTTTTAATTTAAC